TAGCGGCAAGTGCGACATTTAGCGGCGTTGCGACATTTAGCGGCGCCACACCCATTGGTAATATTTTTGTAATCACTAAACTGCACTGTAATTGCACAAACCAAGTCTTAAGTTTTTTCTTTGGTTTGATTACATATTCATGTAATAATTTGTATCATCCATTTCATCCTAAACCATCTTTCTCCACCATAATATCTGTCAAGTTTTGGTTTCACTTATGAGATTTTTATTGACATTCCGAGCGGTACCTGTGATTAATAGTTATGAATTGCTGCACTACTTGGACTTGCTGCAGTATTGGATTTGCTGCATTCCTTGGACATGCTGCAGTATAGGACTTGCTGCAATATTGGACTTGCTGCACTATTGGACTAGCTACGCTTCTTAGACTTACTGTGCTCCCTTGACTTGCTGCGGCATTAGACTTGCTACAGTAGTGGACTTACTGCACCTATTGGACTTGCTGCAGTATAGGACTTGTTGCAGTATTGGACTTGCTGTACTCCTTGGACTTGCGGCAATATAAGACTTGCTGCAATATTGGATCCTTCACTGGACCGGTGAGTTGCTCACCGAAAAAGCCTTGCTGAAAATAAGCTTTCTGACAATATTTGAAGCTTCTTTCGAAATCATTTTTTTTCCCTTATTTTTTTATTTCCAACATCATTTCATTTAAATACACAACGCGCGAATCGGACACAGGTGCTAGTTGCATTGATTTGACCTAAAATGTGTTTGACCTTGTTATTTATACAATAAAATATCAATATATTAAAAAAAAAAAAAGAAAAAAAAAATTTTTTTTTCACTGTTATATTATTATAGACAAGGTATGCAACATTCAGGTACGAAAATTATGGGTACTTCGGTTATCTGTGTTAAAATTTTTCACCGGGCGGTAATATCGTCGGATTTTTGCATGGAATCAATGCACAATATATTTTTCTATTACAATTAACTATTTACAGATCCCCAATTAACCACTAGTTAATGTTTTAAAGCCCGAAAGTAAGAAATCACCCAGGTCCGAAAGATGAGACCGTCATGACATGTACATTGTAAGCTGGTATTTACGCTTGAAATACATCAACAAAGAGATCAAACGGGTCGAACTCACATGCAAACAACTGGATTTTACATACTTTTAAATGGTTTTATCCTCCACGAGTGGCACTAAGTCCTATGTGCCCGTATTTTAAGAAAAATTCTACAAGTATAAGGTAATTCCTAAATCGGAAGTGTTCTCCCGCAACACGTGCTTGGTTCCCTGTTCCGCTCTTTGTCAATGTATGTGAAACGGAAGCCGGAGAATACTTCCGGTGGGAATTACCTTCTAAAAATATCGTCTACATGTAGGATATTTCTTTAAATACAGGCTCATAGGACTAAGTTTGACTCGTGGAGGATAAAACCATTTAAAAGTATGTAAAATCCAGTTGTTTGCATGTGAGTTCGACCCGTTTGATCTCTTTGTTGATGTATTTCAAGCGTAAATACCAGCTTACAATGTACATGTCATGACGGTCTCATCTTTCGGACCTGGGTGATTTCTTACTTTCGGGCTTTAAAACATTAACTAGTGGTTAATTGGGGATCTGTAAATAGTAAATTGTAATAGAAAAATATATTGTGCATTGATTCCATGCAAAAATCCGACGATATTACCGCCCGGTGAAAAATTTTAACACAGATAACCGGCGTACCCATAATTTTCGTACCTGAATGTTGCATACCTTGTCTATAATAATATAACAGTGAAAATTTTTTTTTTTTTTATTTTTTTTAATATATTGATATTTTATTGTATAAATAACAAGGTCAAACACATTTTAGGTCAAATCAATGCAACTAGCACCTGTGGAATCGGATAGAACGCCACTACTGTGACGTCATTTCAAAACAAAAAATAATACAAAATGGCGGACATTTGTGTAAAATGGCTATTGTTGTTGCTGTCTTCCATAATATCCACCTCTTTGTTGTTGAACTCTATACTATCCTCCACTTTGTTGTCGTTGATTTTTATAATATGTATTTTGTTCTTTTACAGTCTTTTCTGCGTTATTTGTCCATTTTATTGCTTAATTTCTTAACTATTTCTTTTAATTCTTCAATGTCACTTTTTTCTGTGGTTGTTCAATCAATTTGTGTGTGGCATGTGGTGTCTTTAATTTTCCTGATGACTTCTTATCTGTTTCAAGATTTCTTAGTTCTATCTTGAAAAGATCATAGTTCAAGATAGATTCATTCTTGAGTCCTTGGTATAATGCTTCATGGTGGAGACTATTATATTTCTGTATGGCACCAAGTTGCACTGCTTGTGTATACAGCTCTTCCAGTCTTGAAGCATATGTGTTGACATTTTCTGTACCCTGGGTACATGCATACAGTTTCCTAAGGTTTGTTTGTCTGCTTTCTATATTCCCATATATACTGTAATAGATGACCTTATTTACTTTATATAAGTACTATACTTCTATTTATTTCTGATATCTTAATTTCCATTATGGTAGTACTGATACTATACGATCACTTTTGAAAAACTACATGATCACTTTTGAAACACTATACAATCACTTTTCCTGTTTAAAGTTATGCAATTTTATTACGCTGCTAAACACATAAGTATTTGGAATCATTTGGCACTTTTGCCAACGTAAATTTATCCCATTCTGTATTAACAACTGTTCTGTTAATGGAAACGTTTATGACGTCACTTTATGACGTCAAACTTGAACAATCACTTGAACGTGAAGGTTTGACGTCATAAAAGACGCGCTCTGATCACCATGGCGGTAAGCCGTTGTTTTTATTTCTCGGAAGTTTTCCGATTTTCTTTAATTTCCCCTATCTTATTTATTTCATATGTATGTTAATTATGAACTAGATTCATATGATGACTTAAATATTTAATACAATTCATAAAAGTTACATTTGCCTTTATTCCCATTTCTTTTGTTTAAGTTACACAAACGGTCCTGTGATATCGAACCGTGTTTACAATACTATTAAATTTCTGTACAATTTCATTCACTCGCACTCCAGTTCCTAATCTTCTTGTTATCCTGCTGTTCCCTTTACAGTACTGCCGTTATTATCTCTAAGAGATTTTGTTTTTCTGTAAATAAATAATATGTCATTTCAAATTTAAATGTTTCTCAGATAACTTCTTCTCTGTTCGCCTCTCTAAAAAAATTGACAGTTTTGGGAAGTGGTATTGTCCTTGTGGTTTTTAGTTTTACTGCTGGTTAATTTGTTGACATCAGTGCAATATTTGGTACAATTGGTGTTGATCAAACAGCAGGCTGTGGTGTCAGCAATACATTGTCTTGCTTTTTTATATAATGGTGTCATTAATGGATTGGTGACAAAGTTCCTTTTTGGTATTCTAGTCGTAGTTCCTTTCCTATATTTTAATCCTTTACCCTCACTTCTCAACAATTTTCGTAAATCTTCTGGACTTTCGATAAATGGCCCTACAGTATCTGTAGAGCTCTAAAAGAATCCAAAAGTTTATTTTCATTTAATAAGATGCTCATTTCTCTTTTACTCTCTTGTCTAGTAGCTCCTAACTTTTCCAAAGGATCCATTATAATTTATTTTATATATTCAAGCCCTTTTTAATTCAATATTACACTTTCTTGTCACTTATTTCAATTCAAAGTGTTATCTTAAGTTATTTCAGTACTATTTCGCAGTACTAAGAAACAAGCACTATTTTAAAGTATAATTTCAGTTCAGCATTTTCTTAATTTCACAGTACTAAAGTACTAAGTCATCTAAGCACCAATTTAATTTAAAATGTTTTACAGTACTAAAGTATTAAATTATCTACGTACTTTTTCATAGTACCATCACTTCAGCACTTTATTTTAAATTACTATATCACAGTACAAAACTATTCAAGCGCTATTTCAAATCGCTATTTTTTCACCACTATTTCAAAATAGAAGTTTCACAGCACTTCTTCAAAGTACGCAATCGTTTAAGTACTATTTAAAATCACTATGTAGCTCAAGCCTTAATAAAAAGTTTAAATGTCACAGGACTAGTCCCGACAATAATATATGTAAGCATAAATTTTATCCACAGTGACTCATCAGCACTTTCAAAGTCACATAGGACTATTTTACAAGTACAACTTCAAATCACACTAATACTGGACAGTACTATACTCGCAAAATTATTTCGAAGCACTAAATTTCTTGTTTCAAGTATTATTCTCAGCAGAGTTATTCACAACGGTCCATTCTTATTCAAGCAGTTTTCTTTCAATAGAATTTCACAGCACTATATTTTCAAAGCACTATAGTGTAAACAGAATTTCACAGCACTAAATTTTATTCAAGCACTATTTGCCGATTATACTTTCAAGCACTTTTTCACAATATAACAACACGGCACTAATATTCATTTCAGTCACTATCATCACAAGAGCACAGCTCTTTTTTTTAGATAAAGCACTAATTTCACAGCACAAATTTTTAAGTACTATTCGCACAAGATTCTCGTAATAAATTTTTATTTCAAATTCCAGTGTTTTCCGTAACACCATTTTACTTTCATATTCAAATAATGGTGCGTCTCCAACAATTTTTTACTTTCACTTTCAAAATTAAGTGTTTCAACAAGACTTTTTCAATTTCACCTGTAGTTCTATGAGACTATTTCATAGTGCAACACCAGTCAATCAACACTTCACTATTCAAGATTTTTATGTCACAAAGACTTAACTAATTCCCAGTTGCGAATGACCACACTTCAGAGCAATTCAATTTTCTTTATTTATTTTCACTATGTTGAATTATATTATACCATGACTAAACTAAAAGTCAATTTCAAAACGGCGAAAATTAATACAATATTAATTTGATTACTTAAATAACATTGAATTAGTTTTTGCGCGCATGCGGGATATTGCAGTAGTTTGACATATGCATCGCCTACTATACGTATTTTACAACGTTAGTTAACATGGCATAATTATACGCATTATAAATCCCTTTTTTCCTTTTATTTAATTGTATACACAAAAAGACAAACATAAATGTCTGCATGTCATCATTCCATTTCAACAGCTGCCGAAATACTTTACCATAAGCACATCATTTGAGCTGCAAAATATATAAAAGGTATATACACAGTTATTTTATTTTATTAACATTCAAACGTCTTAGGCCCTTTAACGCTTGCATTGATAATGATTTTCCTATGCCACTGACTGGTAAGTCAACCTGGATATTCTTTAATTAAAACATAAAAATTGAGCTATGACGATTAAACAGCACGCTTCCAGATTCATGTTAATTTTCATTAAAGTTTGGAAATTTATTTAAAAAAAGTTTTAAAAAAATGTGAGGTGAACAAATAAAGTAATTTACATATTGCAATCGGCGCTTACAATCCACGAAAATTACCAAAAAGTGATCATGACAACATAATTATGCAAAAGTAGCCTTTACTGCGTTAATAACGCAGTAGAAATATGGTGATAAAATACTGCAAAATCAGTGTTAAACCGCACGTAACATGTAAAATATAACTTGGATCTTGAATATTGTTACCCTTCTTAAAAGTTTAGTGCATTTTTCTTCTTGAAATATTTTGGCTCATCTGGAGGCGTGGGGCTTTAATTAAAGAAGATTGTTTGTAGATCAGTCACAAATCAATTTCTATCAACATTGTAATTTTACCTGCAATTTGACACTTTCAGGAAACACTCGTTTTTATATGTCTGTCCGTCTGTACCGCACACAGATAGTTCTATAGTTGGACAGTCATTCTGTGGACACATTTCTGGTACCAACCAGGCTAAAAGCTGGTCGGGCGGTATCGGAATTCCGTAACAATACACTGAAAACAAAGAATTGAACTTGTTTACTTGACATGGATGGATTGTTAGTAAAATACACAGGTAAGGGGATTTTTATCATTTAACAATATTATTTCATAATTTTTTCAAATTCAGTATAAAAGTACTCATTTTAAGCAAATAGTTTTCAGGTGAGAAACTTGTAAACAAATTCCGATAATGATAACGCGATAATGATAACATAAAAAGTAATAATGATACCACGTTGATAATGACACGATATAACGATAATGATAAAGCAAAAGTGTAGTAATAAAACACGAAAATGCGATTATGATAACGCGATAGAGCAATACTGTTATGCGATTATGATAACGCGATAGAGCAATACTGTTATGTGATTATGATAACGCGATAGAGCAATACTGTTATGTGATTATGATAACGCGATAGAGCGATACTGTTATGTGATTTTATTACCCCTCACTTTTTCGTAATGTTAATTTCCCATAGGCCTCTGGAAGTTATTCTTACTGTTAATGCAAGTGTTCCACGTGTGTACTGTTACATAGGTAACAGTATTTTTAACAGTATAAAATCTGGTCACGTCGTCTATTTTCTAAATAAAATGAAATAAAATGGCCGCCATTTTTCTCTCGATTCATTCTTATTTTCGACGATAGGTCCTATGGCATCACCAAAGTAACTATGACTCTCATAATATTTAGTTCTTTGCATCATACAGTAGAGTTCTTTTCGCGTATAAAATATCTTTTCGTTGAATAGTCAAAAAGTAAACATTCGTTTTCAACGGTAGTAATTGTAATGTGAATACTTTTGTGTCAAACTGGAACATGCAGACGATTAAAGCATGTAACAAAGGTTATTATTAAACCGTTTTAACCAGTGAAACGTTACAGATAGAGTTGGTGGACAGACATCTGTAGGATATCATCGTTATTTTGTAAATGCACTTTGTCAAAAAACATGCGAAGAATATTCTGGATACAGAAGGATCAGATTTCACAGATCATAACCTTATAAATGGGTAAGTGTTTTGTTTTCTAAATAAAACACAGCTTATTGTATGTATCATCACTTGCTTAAAGAATTAAAGAAAAACAGCTTCTCAAGTAGGCCTAGCTACAGTACACTTAAAACTTGCAAGGTAAGGGCAGTTTAGTAATTGCTACTCTTGGTTTATTTTTGTTACAGTAAGATTAAGTTTACAAATTCAGATCATCACAGTATTTGTTCGGGGTGATAAAATAACAAACACATGGGTTTGTAATAATTTTGTAGAATGCACGTGAATATATACAAATGGACAATTGAAATAATAAGAGTCTGTGTAACATAATTACATATAACAGCTGTTTAGAGGCAAAATTAACGTTTAAACATAGATAACAAATGACCACTTTAAACATTAGGAATAATGGTTCTGTATTAAACTTAATTTGTATATAGTCAGTATAAACGCGAGTTGTCGTGATACCGTAACATTTAATTGTAATTTGTGATAGCTGTCTCTCAAATTACAATATATCCGTATTATAAATTAAATAAAAGTTAAAACAAATGACCTTTTTCAAGAAAAATGTGGGTAATAATTGATCATGTGTCATGAGGTTCATATATATGTACAACTTTACACAGACAAAATAAAGGATGAAAATCTAAGGTATTAACTGATGAAAATCACCTCATACTAGTATATAACATACTACTTCTGATATAATAAGCATTAACAATAAATTTTGCACATTTTCTAGGGTGAGTTTGAACCAAGAAAACAAGTTTGTCGTTGTTTGATTTGCGCATAAATTCATCACAGTTTAAAATGTTTCCAAATATAACAGATCTTGTGTTACTATAAAGAGCACATTCAACAAGAAAGTGAGTCTCGTCTTCAACTAGTCCGCTATTGCACAACTTACACAGTCTTTGTTCAGGGGATTCACCCACATCCCTCGTAAAAATACTGTTACCATTGGCTACGCCTCGGGTAACAGTATTTTCCTCGGGATGACATTTTACTGTTACCCACAAACCCATGTGTTATTTATATAATGAAAATAAGGTAGAACAATTCTGCTATGTGATTATGATAACGCTATCTAGCAATACTGATATGTGATTATGATAATGAGACAGAGCAATACTGTTATGTGATAATGATAACGCGAAAGGAGTAAAACTGATATGTGATTATGATAACGCTTTAGAGCAATACTGTTATGTGATTATGATAATGAGATATAACAATACTGTTTTGTGATTATAATAACGCGATTGAGCAATACTGATATGTGATCATGATAACGCGATAATGCAATACTGATATGTGATTATGATAACGCTTTAGAGCAATACTGTTATGTGATTATGATAATGAGATATAACAATACTGTTTTGTGATTATGAAAACGCGATAGAGCAATACTGATATGTGTTTATGATAACGCGATAGAGCAATACTGATATGTGATTATGATAACGTGATAAAACAATACTGTTATGTGATAATGATAACGCGATAGAGCAATACTGATATGTGATTATGATAACGTGATAGAACAATGTGATTATGATAACGCGATAGAACAAAACTGATATGTGATTTCGATAACGCGATAGAGCAATACTGATATGTGATTAGGATAACGTGATACAACAATGTGATTATGATAACGCGATAGAGCAATCTGATATGTGATTATGATAACGCGATAGAGCAATACTGATATGTGATTATGATAACGTGATATAACAATGTGATTATGATAACGCGATAGAACAAAACTGATATGTGATTATGATAACGCGATAGAACATAATACTGGTACGTGATTATGATAACGTGATAGAGCAATACTGGTACGCGATTTCGCAATGCTGATATGCAATATTGATATGCGGTAATGACAAGACATTATGGCGATATTGATAATGTGACAGTGTGACAATAATAAATCGGTAACAAAATGAAGTATTACCTGCAAAAAGTATTAATAAAGGTAGGGACTTAATTCCAAACATGTTTTTATGTTCTTGTATATAAAATGTCACAATAAGACGGTGTTTCGTTGTAAGATCCTTGACCTTTGTTGTTAAAGATAAGAACACAAATTGTTAACTGTGAAAGGGTTTGTTTAATACATCTGTGTCGAGTAGATAAGATGTACTTATTGTTATATGTAGTAGTAATATTTAAAAAGAAATCAAAAAAAGATCATAGATTTAAAAAATAATTATTAAGTTATGCTCAATTTTGAAAAAAAGAAAGAAGAGAAGCTAGCATTTAAATTTTCAACGAATGAAGTTTAGATGAAATAATGTTTATTTGATAAATAACAGTTTTAAAGTTTAATAACAAAAATAATATGACAAAGTTGTATCATGTGATATCGGCGAGGTTAAAGTGACATTATGCTTAATCCAAATGTAAATGGTCAGTGAACAGGTAAAATAAGTTTGCTATATTTGTGTTCAATTTCATATTCTATCAATAATCGACTTTCTATAAATATTGTTCATCGGCAACGCTTAATTCTTTAAAAGAGTGGGACAGTCTTTTATAATTTAGGTAGTTTTTATATAGCATCAAACATATTTTAAAATATCAATTATTGGTGAATCATCATTACAATAGCCAATCTTTTAAAAATTTTAACTAGTTTAACACACAATGACAGTAAAAAAGTAAGTACAGTAACACGGATATCAAATTCAAAGTGAATATGTATTTTTTATATTAGTTATTTTTCAAATATCAATTTTTTCGGAATTTATTGCAGCGCGAAATAAACCACTCCGTGCCGAGTTTGTGACACACGTTGTCAGTTACATTTTTGATTTCGACTTGCACAAATTTCACGTGAATCATGACTTTTTTGTCTCTGTTCTTACACACTTACAGTGTTTGATACAAATTCAATATGGACGTTATGTATCAATTTAGGATATATTTTATCATACTTTTATTATGTAGTGATGAAAGAGGTAAGCATTGAGAATATTTAATAGAATAGAAATGTAGGTAAATTTTGTACAAAAAAAGTAATGAAAACACGTGTAGTAGAAGAAATGTTATCAGGTTGTTGGTAATATAACTGATATATAAATTTGTCAGGCACAACGATTTGGGTTACAATGATAAGCTCTAAGTTTGTATGTATCCAGGAATGTACTTATAACATTATTTTTTTTTAGTTTTCAAAATAATTTTAAAAAATGCACGTACAGAGTGTCAATTTCCTGAGCATTATGTAACAAAAATCAATCCACGTAGGATATCTGGATATAGCTTCTATTGTCAGGAAAAGCGCTACCTCTAATAGATTAAGACGCCTTTAACTGAGATCTCAACGTTAAACCTTTAATTTTCAAAAAATTTCCGGAGATGCCAAATTTTACACGTGCGTTGGATCACATTTTGAAAAATTATTATATTGGAACAAATATCCATTTTTTAGCTGTACAGTAGTTAATGTATTTTCGGCAGTCATTTAAAATAAGCTGTTTAATGTTTGATATTGTGACTCACCGTTAGAGAAATGATCTCCATGGATCCCTAGACGATTGGTAGCAAAGGATTTTAGAGGATTTCAAAACTCAATAATATTGCAAATGCCATTACTGTATGGTTTGACAGACACTTGGAGTGTAGACCCCTTCCCTTCCACGCCCCTGTATTTATTTTTGCTTATATAAGTATGAAACGGTTTAGTGCCTAACACGTAAAAAAGTCTCCATATAAAGTTAGTCATTGTGCCAAGTCTCTGTGTATAGGTTTCAGACATTAGCTCTGTTAACAACTTTACAATGCTTTATGCAAAAAAATCTTTTCTTTGATATTAAACGTTTTGATTGATCAATATAGCTGGTTAGTTCCCGCGTAAATCGAACTAAGGGAGGTAAATCAAACAGATGTATTATTTAGTCAATTAAAGGTTATCGGTTTCCTATATGGTAGCAAAATCTCTTAAATTCTACCGCTTTCATCACAAATAAAGGAGAGAAAAATTCAGGCTAGAAAAAAGTATAATATGACGATTTTATTTCGTATATTGTAGGAATGTATATATATACGCCAGAACATAGAACTTATTAAATTATTCATTACTCGCAACTTTCAGGATTTCAAGCATGGGTAAGTTAAATAAGATCTATTTCCGGAGCGGGAGAACGGACGAATAGACATTCGTTGCACAAAAAGAGACAAAAACAATATTAATTTGTCTTCAGAATACTTTAGATCTCACTTGTTTTTTCATCGTCGGTTACCCACGGTATATATTCCGTACATACCGTGGGTAACCGACGATATTGTCTTTTACAATTTGATAAAGATTGTGTATGACATCTATAGATCAAAATCTAGACCGATGTGCCTTAAATCCGTTTAAAACAAAAAAAAAGAGTTAGTTATATCTATTTATATCTTTGGGTCAAATGAGGTTAAAGACAAAGTAAGTTACTTTTCATCAAGTGAACATTTTAACAATTAAGAATTCACGGTCGCTTCTTTTTTATTATTGATTGTTAAAATTTCACTTAATAAACACTAACATATACATAGGGCTAGTTATGTTCATCATTTTATTTTTTTCAACTTGTTTCAGTTTTTGGCTTAAAGTGCTACATATGTCAGTCAAAGACGAACCCAGCGTGTGGTGACGTATTTACATTGACGCCGGACGGAGATGACGTCACAGGTTTCTGTAAAACTAGCTGTTTCAAATTTGTAGCTGCACGCAGTGATAATAAAGGTATACATTTTTTTCATTCACTAATAAGCCCCCATGTTTTTTTCCTGTGTTTAGAGCATTTAGTTACTGGATTGTTCTTCCGTTTTCGCGTCACCCTTACATTATTTTTTCGATTTCAATTGTGCCGTTTTGCGCCAAATTGTGTACGTTACAAGTTATCTCAAAAACTATCAGACCTATAACTGAAAGTTCAATAATAAATCATATATAATATAGTTGGAAATTCCGATATCCGGTTGCAATTGATAACCATATTATAACTTAGTCAATCTTCATCGGTCATCTATTATTTTAGCTCTACTTTTCGACTACTGTCATAGCCCATTCCAATCCATCGGCGTTAGTGTCGATGTTGGATAACCTTTTTGGTTTTTTCTTTCGTTTATAAATGGTCATTAACTTTAATACTAATGAAGTTATTTCATTAAGACAATAATGAGTTCAACTTTCTATACTCATTTTAGGTTAAAAGCTCAGTTGGTTAGACCACTGGCTGTCACTCCTTATGTCCCGGGTTCGATCCTTGGTGACACCCTTGGGTTTTTCAGATACACTTTCAGTGTTTCCCACTTAACTAGAGGTGTACTAGTAAGAAATCCAGGTAATCCTCGCATGTATCAGTGCTATACACTGGGCATGTAAAAGATTCAATAAGCGCTAGGGACTGGTTCCCGGATTCCCTTGTATCTCATAGCTTTCTCTGAAGTGACTAGTCTATAGTAATGTCTATGTCCCTGCGAGGGGTGTGACATTAATGGAAGAAGTCTTGTTCTTCGACAACATCATCTATCTACTCAAACACATACATGTATTCTAATTATACGCTTCATCATTCATTTAGACGAAAGTATTGGCATGTCATATCGGACATCACGCTGCGAAGAGATAACCTTTATTAATTTTACGAAAAGTTTGTCTTAGAAGCGTGGCATGTAAAGCTAGATAACGCGCATGCTGAGGAAATTAAAGATAAACATTGACATTTAAAATGAAATATTCATTATCTGTATTAAAAATGTGTAGTCACTATCTATCAAATTACCTCACTTGTTTTATACTTTACAAACATGTCTGCTTCAAACAAATTTTACTAGGTGTAAACTCATACATGTAGTCCCTTTTTTCCGAATCGTGTGTTGGTTTGTGGTTCATTTTATATAAAAAATCCTAATTTATCAAGTTCGTTTAAAGATTTTGATTCTGACATTAACAATTCTCTTGTCAGTTGTCATGCCCTGTAATCGATACATGGTATTGCGAAGTGACATCTTGATATTGCAAAATATCGAGCTCATGTCACATCGCGGCAGTATATTTTTTCGCATTGTAATGCAGTCGTCATAGAAGCTCGGAAATGGGACAACAGATTGCGGCGCATATTTCCGAACCTGTACCCGGCTGTCTTTTCATGTTATCCGATAGGGTGATTTTTAAAAAAAGAGCTCAGTTTACTAAAGTCTGCTAATTTTAAAATCCGTCAAATTATGGTATTCTGAAAATTTGGCCAATTTTAAAACCTACAGATAAGCCAATATATTTCATGAAAATTAAACTTGAGAAAAATATACTGAGATTCAAAAATACGAAAAAGATTCAAGTAATAACCCACTATGTATGTGCGACAAATGACCGATAATGCGGTATTTATCGTCATATTTTTACTGCGTGACTAACGCATCAAGAGCTATATGTGTATATGTTTACCTTGTTTTTGGTAATTTACGTGTATTACAAGTGCTGCATGCAATGTGTTAATACTTTACTTTGTTAACTTCACAATATTTTGCATTTAAAAGCTTTTTCAATATTTTCATGAAAATTACCATAAACCTGTTGGCATGCTGCTCCTTATAACAAAATATTGATATTATATTTTTAGAGGTCGTAGACACGGATAGATACGGACAAAAATAAATAAATTTAAAACCAGTTGCAGGATCGGAAACATGCGCCCGTTCCCGAGTGCCTATGGTCGTTATGGTTGTTGAGCATACCAGAGTGCGTCACATTATTGCGCATTGTCTTATAATGTGTATTCTCCTGTACATAATAATATTATGCATATTTATAGTCTTACTTAATAACATGAACATTTTTTTAAAAAGAACCTTGCACAATTATAATAGATGCATGGTCCATACATGATATATACATAATACATACATAATTGTGTATAGTCTCAAATGTGATCATAGATTGGTGAACAATAAAATGTTGTTGTTATAGCGACTTTCTGCCTGCATTTGCTAGTAACTATAAATAAATGTTACAAATGACATGAATTTACTGTTATCATAAACTGAATATTTGTTTTATTTACAGTTATCAGTAGAGGCTGTTTACCAAGTAACAGAATAATACCCGAGTGTAAGAAAGACAGAGATAATGATATATACGGCACGTTTTGCGCGTGTAATCAAGATTTCTGCAACCACGGGACATCTGTGCATGGATTTAGTTTATACCCATTTTTTACTGTGTTGTACATGATATTAAAAATATACATGTAATAACTATTTCTCTTTTGTTGTTATTGTTTTCCATTAGTTTGTATTTAGCTAGTCATCTTTACTTCTTTAGCCACAGGAACCACCCAAGAGGAGGGGGTGGGGGGCTTAAATCTCCCATGTTGATAGGTTGTCACTTATAGCTACTATCCCACACATTGCAGTTTGAGGGTGTTTTTTTTTTTTTTTTTTTTTTTTTTTTATAAAATGTTATCAAAAGATAAAACTTTTCCACAGACTCGTACAGTTATACATGTATGGTACATTATTAATGCATGTTCTGTCAGACGGTTTCATATCACGTATTTATTTCATTAAGCCACAAATTAAAATTCAGATTCATATCCCGCGCAGATAACAACAATATCGCTAATAATTTCAGATTGTCGCTAATATGAGCACATAGACCAAATCAGTAGGACATAAAATGATGCTTCCTGTTTAATGGGACAAAATATTTTATCATTACAAAGCATTTCAAAAGAACTCGTTTAGAATCAATTGATCGGCGACTATAATTCTTCCGTCAGTATTGGAAAAGCCGGTATCATACTGTAGAAAATCAAAGACCTCGTGCTGGAATCAATCGATCAGAATGCTGTGACAACATCGATATCTGTGAACACCTACAGCACTGACTTTTGTTCTATCTAAATGTATGTATAGGTCCTGTTCAAAAATATAGGCAACAATAAATATGTATATACCGTGAATGGAGAGAAATGTCAATGAACTTGGGTTTGTTATATACATTTTTTTAATCTATGTGCAATTTTGTTTTTGATTTATTACAATTAAACTGGGGATAAGAAACCTGCTAGAAACCATTAATGGCAATACATGACTCGCATATTAATACAAACCTATGAGCATTAATCGCGAAAATCGATGACAATTTCAAGTTAAATATTTTACGAAAAAAATTATTATTCTGTTGTTAACTGAGAACATACGTATAAGTACTGGTGTTTTCATATTTTACATTTTGATGATACAAAGATTAGTATGTAATACAGTGGAAAAAATGCTGACAAAAAGTCGTTCTGTAACAAAAACATTTTGATTTAGATATAAGAATGGTTTTAGAAATATTTTATAGAAATGTTTAATGAAATACATTGTTGATGATCACTGTTAATTTAATTCAAATTTATTTCCTTGTCATAACGCTGACAAGTAATAAAACTGTTCTGTGAATAGATGCTTTGTGTGTGCTCTGTCAGACGGAGTATCGAAGGAATGTGGAAAAAAACATTGTTGCTGAACATGGAAGAACTATCCAATGTTCTCGCCAGTGTGGAATATAAAGACGTTTTTTTTTTGTTTTTTTTTTGTTTTTTTTTGGGGGGGGGGGAGGGTGGATATTGTGGTTATATTTTTTTAAAAAACTGAAACTACCTCAGAGGAGAAGTTTCCTTAAACTTTGCATGATTTAAGAGAATCTTAATTGGATGAATGAAAATATGGGGAGGGGGAGAGCGGTCACCGTCATACCTATTTCTGTAATCTGTAACTGTCACCTAGATAATCATTGTATCA